GGTTGGATTAAGAGGATAGGAAAGACCTGATAGGCAAGCAAGGGGCTCAGCAGTGACCTCCTGCCAGTTGCAGATACTTGTCCTTCATTCAGCCAACTTTTATTGAGTGCCTGCTGTGGACTCTTAGCATGGGCCCCTTGACAAGCCTAGACCCAGGTACAGCAACAGGAAGCTAGGTGGGGCATTGGATGACAGCTTAGTTTTCCTCTGGAGAAGTCAGCTCCCATTCACGTCATGTCTTTTGAAGCAGAAGTCTAGAGGAACACTTTGAAATAGGAAGGTGGATTTTCTTGCTAGCAATAAATACCATTATTGCTGTACTGAGGGTCCTTTCCGTAGATGCAGGAAGATGGCAGTGCAAATCTAGCACCCAGTCTCACTCAAGGCTTGGAGTGGGCTTATTCCCACAACTGACTTCTGAGGCATTTGTCACCAGATAACTTGCAGCTTGAGTTGGGGCTGGAGTGGGAGATGAGATATTTAAAAAATACAGAAAAGTATCTCTAGGTCCCGAGCCTTTGAGGATTGAGAGGAGGGGGATAGTAGATGGGTGTTGAGCATTTGCTGAAATGCCAAGGGGATGAATGAGGGAAGGCACGGTCATGGAGGGATGAGAGAGACTTGGGGACTGGACTTTGTGTCCATTCCCACCTGCAGGTTTCTGTTCTGATTTGTTTTCCCACCTGAGCCATCCTCTTACTCCTCTTCGGGCCTTTGGATTCTGGTGGACTTGAATGCAACATTCCTTCCCTGTCATGAAAACTCCTCTCAATGTACAAGAATTTTTCCAGTCCCACAAGCCTCTCGGCTACTCCTATGTTCAGGGACTGGCCCTGCCATTTACTCTGTTCTGTAACAGTGGAGCCCAACACTGAATACTGAGCCCTGGCTTTTGCAGAAGGCATGTAGCATTCTTGTTAATAAACACTGTTAAACCTGACTTTATATCATTTAACTGAAGTTCTGCTTATTTGTCATGATGCTTGTGAAGGATCATACATGGGCCAGTCAGGAACTTAATGCAAAGAAACAAAGTGGGTCCTGACCTACAACTTCAGTTCCCGGGAGACAGAAGGGAGTGGTGGAGACTGTGGCTGCCCTGTTTAAAGGGAACAGCCACTGTTCAGCTCCACCCAAGGCAGGGCAGGGGGCCACACAGGAATTCAGACCAGTGCTGCCAGATCTTCTAGTACTTTCCAAGAGAAGCTGGGCATCCAGATTTTTGTGTGGAGATTTTTTTAAAAAGTTTTATTGTTTTATTTTTTGGGGGGAGGGGGAGAATGAGAGGGGAAGAAACATCAGTGTGTGGTTTCCTCTCATGTGGCCCCCCACTGGGGACCTGGCCCACAACCCAGGCATGTGCCCCGTGTGGGAATTGAACCAGTGACCCTTGGGTTTGTAGCCCGTGCTCAATCCACTGAGCTATACCAGCCAGGGCTAGTTACCCCATTTTTGGGGTAACAGATTTATTGAGAGATAATTTACAAACTATTCAACTCACCTTTAAAGTGTACAGATTTGTGGATTTAAATTTAAGGCTATATAACCATAACCACAGTCAATTCTAGAACATTTTCATCACCTCAAGAGGTTCCATATCCTTTAGCAGTTACTCTCCATTTTCTCCCAAGTCCTTCAGTCTCTGATAACAACAAATCTACTTCCTGTCTTACAAATTTGCCTGTTCCCTGTATTTCATCTAAATGGTGTCATACAATATGTGAGCTTTTGTGTTTCTTTTCTGGTTTCATTTAGTATGTTTCAAGGTGTATTCATGTTATAGCATAAATTTAGTACTTCATTTCTTTTTATGGCTGAATAATACTCCACTATATGAATAGATCACATTTTTTTTCTCATTCATCCTATAGACATTCAGGTTTTTTTCCACTGTTCTGTTATTATCAATAATATTTCTATGAATGTCTCATTTTAAGATGTTGGCAGCTATTTATATGAGGTGATTGGAGAGTCGAGCTCATAGACACAGAAAATAGAAGGGTGGTGGCCAGGAGCTAGAAGGAGAAGGATTGGGGAGTTAGGGTTTCATGGGTACAGAGTTTCAATATGGAATGATGGCAGAGTCCTGGAGATGAATGGTGGTGATGGTTGTACAATGAATGTACTTAATGCCACTGAACTGTACATTTAAAAATGACTAAAATAGTAAATTTTAAGAAAATAAAAAAATAAATGATGGCAGCCTACTGATGTATTTCAGGGACCAGATTTCAGAAGACCAGGTACACATGGCGGGGCACCTGATTAGGAGCTGTGCTGGGAGTGCCTCAGCCAGCATGGTGGCACTGGGAGTAGTCCCTTCCATGGGGTGCTCTGTGTGGCATGACCCCCATGTGTTTGCTTTCTTTAAAAAAATATATATATGAAAAAATATATATATATAAATTTATTTATTTATTTATTTATTTATTTATTTATTTATTCTTAGAGAAGGGAAGGGAGAGAGGGAAAGAAACATCAATGTGTGGTTGCCTCTCATGCGCCCTCTACTGGGACCTGGCCTGCAATCCAGGCATGTGCCCTGACTGGGAATCCAGCAACCATTTGGTTCACAGGCCAGTACTCAGTCCTCTGAGCCGCACCAGCCAGGGCCCCACGTGCTTTCTTATTGTAGTGATTTAAAGTTGGGGCAGGACCACCCTGGGTCAGACAGGGCATCTGATTTCAACATTCAGGGTGGGCAAAGGGTCTTCCTTTCTAACCACATTTAGTTATTTCCAAGAGATAAAGTAGGTAATCAAGTGAACACAAATGTCTATTACAGATCCAATGCTTTAAAATATAGGATTTGTTTTTTAATAGACCATTTTTTAAGACAGTTTTTAGATCCACAGCAAAATTGAGAGAGGAAGGTACAGAGATTTCCCATATACCCCCACCCTCCCCCACATTATTAACAGTGGTGTATTTCTTATAACTGTTGAACCTACATTGATAGGTTATAATCACCTGAGTCCATGGTTTATGTTTGAATTCACTCTTGGTGTTATATAGTCTGTGAGTGTGGACAAATATAAGGATATTAATCTACCACTATAGTATCACACAGAGTAGTTTCACTCCCTACAATCTGAGTTTTGTATGGTGTGGATAGTTCATAGCACATGGGAGCATCCTGAATTGTGCAGTTTTCATTTCACTGGTTTTGGGACATGGTCTGTTCACACCTCATTTGGCTGCTTTGGCCACACCTTGGATGGGGGTTGGTAGATGCCACCTGTTGGAGGAACAGGAGTCTGAAGGGCACTGCCTGCTAACAGGGCTTAGTTACATGTGTTAGACAGGAGGGGGAGGTGACTGGGGGTGTCCGGCATTCCTTTGCACAAATGAGCTCAACGGTGCCCTCACAACAGCCTGGCCAGGCAGCACCAGATGAGCAAACAGACCAGAGGGACTCAGTGGTGCGCCTAGGTCCTGCCATTTGTGGGTGAGTAGTGCTCGAAGCCCAATGTCAGCTCACTAAAGTTCACTTCGAGTGCACTCTGGACCTGGGCACAGTGTCTCTTTCCAGGCTCTGTATTGGCAGTTCCCACTCCAGGTTCTCAGCACAATGAATCAGCCCCAGACAGGTGAGTGTTCCACTCTGGTGCCTGGAGGACTTGGGCATCACGCAGGGCTGGATGTAAATAAGCTCTCATGTTTTCTTGCTGGCCCAGATGTCTTGGAATCCCAAGCTGTTAAGGTCTTTGCCCTCCCACTCTGCCCACTGTCCTCTCCTTAGACCTCAGAGGCTGTCCGCATGCCCGTTAAAGTAGTCTCCTCCAATTGTTACCCTCTGTTCTCTGCCTCTCTGTGTCAATCTGTAATTACTCATTGTATATTTATATCTGGCTCTCTTACTAATGTCAAGGCAGGGAGCATAACTTTTTTGGTTACCGCTATTTCCAACCTAGCACACTGGTAACTTGTCAAATAAATGTCTTTTATTTTATTTTATTTATTTATTTTTAGAAAGATGGGAAGGGAAGGAGGAAGAGAGGAAGAGAAAAATCAATGTGTGGTTGCCCCTCACATGTCCTTTGCTGTGGACCTGGCCCACAACCCAGGCATGTGCCCTGACTGGGAATTGAACCACGACCCTTTGATTCACAGGCCTACGCTCAATCCACAGAGCTACACCAGCCAGGGCAAATAAATGCTTTTTAAATTAACAGATAGAATGAATTTTATCTTCCATGAGTCTGTGGGTGCCAAGGGTAGTAAAAAGGGCCGAGATGGAGGTTACACAAATCCGTAGAACATAAGCCTCCCATGGAACCTCAGGCCTTTGAACCTTGGGTGAGTCACCTGAGTTCTCTGGGTCAGGGTTCCTTTTCTCTCCAGTGAGCAGATGGAAGGTTGAACCATGCCACCATCCAAATGCTGAGTGGACGCTACCAACAAGGCAAGGTTGGTACTTCTTGGTTTTACTCCTAGCCTTTGCTGCAAGCAGTGTCACCTTTTTCTCAGCAGTGTTCAATTATGGTGACCTGTGTTGCATGGGTTTTTTTCCAGCCTGTTTTGCAGATCACACAATCTTGAGGCTGCACCCCAGGGCAGGCCCTGCCCAGGAGGGGGGTGAGGGCTCAGTCTTACCACCTTCAATTTGAAGAAAGAATACACCCTCTGCCATTGACCTCAGTACCTTTCGGGAGCTGAAGGGTGTATGTGCAGGGGTAGCAAAATGTGTGGCTCCTGGCTGGCGGGGGACTGTGTCCTGGACTCTGTGTCCTGGACTCTGTTCATGCTTTGAGTGAATTTCAAATGTGGAACAGGGTGGTCAGAGCCACAGGATGTGGTCACAATGCTGTTTCACACCTGTTTGACTAAACTTAAAACTGCATCTAAAGTCCTGTGTGTTGTTACCAAATGCCTGTTCTGCCCTCACACCCCTTCACTGCAGGGGGAGGGCACTGGACCCCCCACAACTATGTGTCCTGTTGGAATCAGTGCCCAGCAGCTGCCACCCCAGCCCAAGTCCCAGAAACAAAGCCCTTTTCTTTTGGAAACCATCTGAGAACAATGGCCTTTATTTTAAAAATAATTTTTTTTGTAACAAGAATGAATCACTGTGGCTGCACCTCCCCTCCCCCTAGATGGTGTCAAAAAGTGGACAGGGTCACTACAACCTGAAAAAGTCCCTTTTGTGCTGCTCCAGCCACTGATCCAGTGTTCTGGCCTTGGGGTTGAGCCTCAGCGTCAGTTCAATGTCCCGGTTGGGCTTCAAGGCATAGAAACGGAACATGTTGGCCAGGTCCTGAGCCCCAGGGAAGTCAAGCTTCTCATACTCCTCAGGGGTTGTCTGGAAGCAGAGGGGTGTCTGTGATGATCCATTGACATCTCAGCACCCTACTTAGGTGGTGGGGGCTGGGGACACCTCAGTCTTTACCAAGGTCCTTGCTAAGTCCACCTGAAACGCACTGTACTTGATCAATTTGTATCTGAGCTCAGCTCCTCAAATCCTCCACGAACTGCCCCAGGCTTTTCATTGCTTAGATAGTAACACCTGACCTCATAGTGCCTGTTTTCTAGAGCACACCATTGCGCTACAGAAGCCTCAGTTCTGTTCCATTCAATCCTCACTACCAGAGCAGGGGCACTATTCACACACCCCTTTCTCGGATAAGGAAACTGAAGCAGAGGCGTGCGGGGCTGTGCCCCAGGTCACGCACTGCTGGGTGTTACAGCACGATTGAGCCTGGAGTTCTGTCCAGCCTCAAACCCCTCATCATTACTGTTTGGGTCTGGGGGCTCTGTGGATAGTTTGTCTTTTAACACCCAGGGGTTTTCCACATTTTCTTTAATGAAAAGGTCTTACTTTCATAATTGGAATGACAAGAACCAAGAAACCCAGGGGTCTGGACTGGAAGACTCAGGATCAGCGGGGAGCGGAGGGGACTGTGCGCCTTCTGCCCACCCATCCAGGCCAAGTGTGTGTGTGGGGGGCTCTCTCTGGCCTCCTCCCCCTTCTCTTCCCTCAAGTCACATCCCAGAGGAGCCCAGCAGCCCTGCATTTGCACTCCTGGCCCCTCTTCCTGGCAACTTTCCAACTTAGTTAACCACCTAAGCCAGAAACTTCACTCGGCAATCACACTTGGCTCCCAAAAACAGCACAATGTGAATGCTCACAGTTGTGATGAATTCAGATTTACCTTGTTCTAAATTCCCTTTCTTAATACCCACAAAGCCCTCCTCGGGGTTTGAAATGATTAGTAGGAGCTGAGGGGCCCACCTTGGCATCATACACTGCTTTTCCAGTGTGCTTGGAGAGCAAGTCAGCGTACTCCTCTGCTGTGTGCCTGCAGGTACTAAGCCCAAGGTTCTGGCCAATGTATTTTTCTGGCATCTTCAGCAGGCTGAGCACCACAGGGCCCAGGTCAGCAACGGACATACCATCCATGGGTATGTCACCCATGGGCAAGCCTGGGAGGGGAGAGGGAGACATGTTAGCATGTGTCATGTCCTAGAGCGGACAGCGAGCCCTTTGCCGAGGGGTAGAAACTGGTGTTCCTAACAGACAACCAATTGGACATCTGCACAGATCGGCACCTGATACGACAGACAACTCCTGCTGTCTATTTCAGAGCAGAAGCAACAGTGGAACTCAGCTGGGAAATGGGATTCAAGCCAAGCTCTGCCCCCTTGGCATGCTGTTTAAACACTCTAAGCTCAGGTCACTCCATTCTTAGACTGTGGAGAAGAACCCTGGACCTGCCCACCTTTCTCAGGGCTGAGATCAGGGACAGGGACAAGAAAGGAAGGGCTCCTAAAGGTCCCCTGAGAACTGGCTGGTACCCTCAGGCCCCACTGCTCCCAAGACACTGGCCTGGGTGTAACAGGCCAAATCCTGAATTTCTGATGTGGAAATTTGTGGGTAGCTATTCTAAACACCAACTCTACTGACAGAAATGTTTGACTAGCTGAGGCCAGGACCTGGCCCACAGCAGTGTGTGACAGGTGCTCATTCATGACTGTTGAATTAATGAATGACTACCTTCCAAGTTGTGGTTTTGTAGATGCAGAGGGACAGCAGTGTTTAGTTGTGGTGCCCAATGTGCTTGGGCTGTGCCATTTTAAAAAGGGGCCACCACAGCTACCTGTTCAGATCACCCAGGGACCTTGTGGGGGTGGAGGTCCAACTCAGAGACAGCATAAGGGGTGTCCCTAACTACAGCTTTGCAAAACATAAAGGGCAATACCCATTGCCAACACCAGGACCCAACTGCTCACCAGTGGGCAGAGCTTGAGCGATGGTGAGCCAGTGTTTGTGCACAGCAGGGGGTGCCGGGGTGGGTGCCCACTGAGGGCACTCAGGCCTCCTGGGTGTCCTGCTTTAATCCACTAGCTGACTAGCAAGACTGAATTGTATGAGGTTCCCTCCAAGCCAGGGTCCAGTGCACCAGCCATTTAGAGATTTGCAAATGGGCATTGAGAAGAAAGTGCTTTCCACTTTGTGACATCTACAACTGGGTCTCATCTTCCAAATCCTCTTCTTTTTGAAGGAAAAGTAATAATTGCACTCATGTCTGTAAAGCTTTCCACCAGATTGTTATCACCACATCTCAGTAGATTTTCTCATTGCCCCCGAGCAAGTCAGTGTCATGCCCGTTTCACAAAGCAGGAAGCAGAGGCCCAGCCAGGTTTTATTCCTTGCTCTGTCACAGGCCTAATGTGAGAGCCAGTACTCATATCTAGAATCATCTGAGGACAAGCCCATAGCTTTCTATGACACTCATAGCTCCACACAATGAGAGCAGGTGCTCAAGGAGGAAGGGTACTCACTCAGCAAGTAGCTTTTTCCATCTGGGGCTTTCTGGGGCAGAAAGTAGGAGAGGAGGTTCTCAAAATAGCAGGGCAACCGCACACTGATCATGGGAACACCAATGTCCCGGAAATATTCCTCCACTTCCCCTTTACCATCAAAGTGGCCTGCTGCCAGTCTCCCTGCCGTCAGCTTCTTGATATTCTCCAGGCCGCTGTAGACCACATAGCGAAGACCCAGGCGCTTGGCCAAATTGGCCAGCAGCTTTCCCTGGGGGGCAGGAAAGCAGAAACCACAAAGCTAGGAGGGAGGATGTGTCCCCAGTCACAGCCCAGTTCTCCAACCTGAGTTGCCACTGTGCCTGATAGTAAGAGCCCAACACCACTTATCCCTCAGATAAGGCCGCTCTTCCAGAATGACGCTCACACACAGTAACACGCCCTTTAATGTGCAATTATAAACCCATACTGCCCACAGAACCTTCCCATCTTCTCTTGATCATCTAGGTTGTTAGTACTTTCTGATATGCGTGACTCTAGCTCACCTATGTGCAATCTGCTGCTAAGTCATCTTCCTTGGAGACCCCAGGATTTCACAAGGGAGGTGCTACAGCTCAGCAGTTAGGCACACAGGCCACTTGAGTTCCAGTCCTGGTTCTGTACCACACTCGTCGGTTAAATGGGGACCACAATACTACCTGCTATACAAGGCCATGTAGGGGGTTGGACAGTGGCCTCCAAAAGGACATCCTAACCCCCAGAACCTGTGAATGTGACCTCATTCAGAAAAAGTCTCTGCAGGTATAATTAATTTAAGGAACCTGAAATGAAATTATGCAGGATTACCCATTTAACCCAATGACAAGTGTCCTTATGAAACAGAAGACAGAGAAGTCCATGTGAAGACAGAGGCAGAGACTGAAATGATGTGGCCACAATGAGAAGTAGCAGCCACCAGAGGCTCAAAGAGGCGCGGAACAGAATCTCCCTTACAGTCTTCAGAGGGAGCAAGACCAACACTTTGATTTTGGACTTCTGGCCTCCAAAACCGAGGGAGAATAAATTCCTGTTGTTTTAAGCCAGCTGGCTTCTGATCATGTTACGACAGCTGTGGGGCACCAATACTAGCTGTCAGATGAGAGAAGTTGTCTTTGTCTCTTCTATGGAATGGGCTTCCATGTAAGATGTAATCGAAGAATGAGTCAAGACTAAAGACAAGTTTGAAGACCAGTGATCCAATCTCCCTTTACTTTGCAGAGGAAGAAAACAAGGACCAGAGCAGGCAAGTTACGTGTACAAAGCCATAGCTGTGGCTAGTTGGGAATGACGCAGGACTAAAAACTGAAGTGTGTAATTCTCAGCCTTGTGCCTTTCCTCTGGCACGAATTCTACATTCCAAAAAAACCTGAATGCTTTCTCCGTGTCAGACAATGTGCAAGTGTCTCAATCTTCAGTGAGACAAAAAGATGACTGTGTCTCATGGTTCCTCTCTTATCCCTCCCACCTCCACCTAGGCTCAAAAACCACTTAACTAGAGAGAATCTGGGTGGAAAAATAGAATAAAGTGAAATATAAAACATGTGAAAAAGGACAGAGGGGACTTTCTGGATTGATAGAAATATATTTTGATCAAAAGGCAGTTATATGGGCTTATTTATTTTCAAATTGTATCAAAGTGTACAATTAAAATGTGTGCATTTTTTAATAAAAATTATGGGTCGACAGAGTTAGATTTTTAAATTTGTTTAGAGAGATGGGAAGGGAGGGAAGAAGAGAGGAAGAAAAACATCAAATGATTGCCTCTCACACACCCCCAACTGGGGACCTGGCCCGCAACCCAGGCATGTGCACTGACCAGGAACTGAATCAGCAACCTTTTGTTTTGCAAGCTGAAGCTCAATCCACTGAGCCACACCAGGTAGGGCCAGAGGTAGACTTTTAGAAAGTATAAAAAGTCATCTGATGACAAAAGAGATTAGTAATTGCCTAGGGCTGAGAAAAGGACAGGCATGGGGAGTGAATGCTAACAGGTACAGGGTTTCTTTTGGGGGTGATAAAAATGTTCTGACATTAGGTTGTGGTGATGGCTGTACAATTTCATGAATAGGTTAAAAACCAATGAATTGCATACTTTAAAAGGGTGAATTGTATGGTAAATGAATATATAAAAAAGTCACTGCATGAGAAAGCAGCCTCCTCTTGCCCTCATCAAAATCTAAGAGGGCTACAAAGAAGAGGAGGGAAAGGCCTAGAGTGATCAGTGGTCAGTGGCCCTGGGTAGGATGGGTCCTACTGGCAAGCTAGAGATTTCCCCTAGGAATCAATAAGGACCTGGGAACTCCTTTTAAGATGTCCTGAAACTAGCCCCAGCCTCCCTAAACCCTGCTGCCTGCCCTCACCTGCTTGACCTCCTGTTCTTGACTGCAGTTCTCCCAGTAGTTGGTCACAATGAAGGTGGCATGAGCCCCAGTCAGGGCAAGTTCCATGCTGGCCTCATCATTCTGGTCTCCCTGCACTATTTCTGCACCTTGCAGCTTTAGCTCCTTTGCTGCTCTCTGCCCAGGGTCCCGGGTCACAGCTCGAACCCTGAACGTTCCATCTTCTATGAGCGTACGGGCCACTGAGCCCCCCTGGGCACCTGCAGAGTCAAAAAGACCTGAAGGGTTGAACATATGCCTGGGAGTCCTGCTAAGAGTGAAACCCCAAAGGGAATGCTCCATCACAGCAAGACACCCAAGACACTTTTCCCCTGTCATTCTCATTAAACTGTCTTATAGCAATTTTAAATAACAGCTTTATTGAGAAACAATACACTTACCATAATATCAACTCTTTAAAAATATATAGAGTATTCAGAGTTGTGCAACCATCATTGCAGTCAATTTTAGAATATTTTCATCTCCTCAAAAACAAAATACATATTCATTCGTAGTCACTCCCCATTCTCTCCTCCCTGGCAACCACTGATCTGCTGTTTCTACAGATTCACATGGGATCCCACAGTATGTGGCTTTTTGTTTCTGGCTTTTTTCATTCAGCATGTTTTCAAGGTTCACCATGTTTCAGCAGGCATCACACTTACACCTTTTATACAAATTTTAAAATGCATTATGAAATATTTAGCAGACACAAAAAGGCACAACAATACCCATGTACCCACTCCTTAGCTTAAGGAATAAAATATTACCATACCTTTTCCAAAACAAAACAAAACAAAAAAGATTGAGAAGACTACAAAAATTAAAATAATCAAAAGGAAGAAAATAAAAATCACCCATAAATACAGGAGGGAACAAAAGTACATTTACAGTTGTGAGCACATGAAACACAGTTTATTCTTGTATTATTTATTAATTATTGTATTATTTTCCATACAAGCAGGTTCACAGTGCCACGGTGACATTTTTTGAGTTAATAAAGCTATTGTAGTAATCATAACCTACATGTCTTTTTCCACACAAACAACTGTAAACCTACTTTTCCCTCCCCCTGTATGGACAAGAACAATGGCTGCAGCACTATTTGCAATGGTGAAAATCTAGACAACCTAAATGTTCTTTGGTAGGAATCTGGTTAAAAAAGTGATAAATCCATACAGTCATTAAAAAGAATGTGGCAGATCTGTATGTATGACTTGGATAGGTGACCATGACGAGTCCTGGAGTGAAAAAGGCAAATTGGAGAACTACAACTACCTTCATACAGTTTAGGCAAGAATGTAAAATGACATAGTTGCTGTGTAAAACAGCCTGGTTGGTGGTTCCTCAAAATGCTAAATTTATTGAGTTACCATATGATCCAGAAATTCCACTCTATACCCAAGAAAATTGAAAATATATGTCCACACAAAAACTTGTACATGAATGTTAATAGCAGCATTATTGACAAGAGCCAAAAAGTGGAAACAAATCAGATGTCCAGAATGAAATCTATACACCAAAAGATTTGTGTGGCTGCCAGAGGCTGAGGAAAATTGAGGGAAACGGGGAGTGACTGCTGGTGGGTGTTCACGTAAGAAATGTTTAAACCTGTAAAGAATTTTGATTAAGCTTATTTGAGCCAAACTGACATGATATGCACCAGGAAGCAAAATCTCAAGGGACTGAGAAAATGCTCTGAAGAATGGCAGTTTTGCAGCTTATTTTTAATGTACTGATTTGAGAGAGATTTGTTGTTCTATTTATTTATGCATTCACTGGTTGATTTTTGTATGTGCCCTGACCAAGGATCAAATCTACAACCTTGGCACATCGGGGTGATCCTCTAACCAACTAAGCTATCCAGCCAGGGCCTGCAGCTTATTTTATAGGTCAAAATCAAAGGAGATGTAATGAAATTCACTGGTGGGAAATTCAGCAACTCGGGGAAAATCTCTGGGATTGTATAAAAAGCCAGAGAGACACTACTTCTTTTACATCAGTGGGTGCAGGACAGTAACATTTACAGGCATGGAGATGGTATGCAGGCAACAAGAGGACAGTACAGGCTGTGCTCTGGGGCCAGCAGTTGTGCCTTGAGGGGTTTGGAAAAGATTACTCTGACATTTCAAAAGTAGGTGACCTTTGCTGCAAAGATAATGGACACGTTCACTTGAGGTAAATTACATCACAGAAGGTGCAGTCCTGGGACTGTGACTACCTGCACCACGACCCACTTTTAGTTAGGAATTTGTGTATCAGACCATTCTGTGATTATTTTTGGTCTTTGCGTTTGTAAGGGCCACCATGCTGGCCTCTCCCAAGCTTGTCAGGTTTAGGATATGGACCCTTTTTCATTCACATAGATATGGGGTTTCTTTTGGAGGTGAGGAGATCTAAACTTAATTGTGGTGATGGTCACAGAACTCTGTAAATACACTTAGAAACCAGTGAACTGTACACTTTAAATGAGTAAGTGGTATGTGAATTATACCTCAATAAAGCTGTTAGGTATTTTTAAATATATATAGAAAAAATGAAAAAACAGGAGGGGCAAAATAAAACACTATCGTTTAACAATAATATTTATTTAGATATTTTTAATTTGATGGGATACTCAAACAACTCAGTAACAGTGATGGATGGGGTGGGGAGGGGTACTGAAATTGGAGAAAGATTTAATTTCGGTAAGATGTGCAATGACTATTTATTCAAAGTCAGAGTAATTGTTTAGATTCAAGGGGCATCTGTGCTCATTTCCTGTCCCCACCCCCCAAAACGGGAACAGGGATCCCGGCTATTTCACCCCTCCCTCCCGACTTCTGGGGACGTCTCTCCGGGCTGGGCAGCTTCCCTGGCTCAGTGAGAGGTCCTGCGCTTCAGGGCCTCCGACTGGGGCTCTGCTTACCTGTGGCTCCAAACACCACCACTATTTTCTTGTCCGCCATGAGAGTGGAAGCAGAAAATGCCGTCCCGAGAAGCCTGAGGAGCGGGGAAAGCGCGGTGTGGGCGACGGAGCCAGAGGACCTCCCGACCCGACTGACTCCGCTCACACACCGCATAGGCCTGAGGGGGCGGCCGGCCCAGAGACGTTCGGACTTCGGGATTCGCAGCCCCACTTTCGGGTCTGATACCACCCCCACCCCCTCGTCCATTTCTTGGACCCTTGCCAGCATCCCACCTCTTAATGCAGACCCCAGCCAGCGTTACCTCCTCACCGTGGCCTGAATGGGAACGCTCCCGGAAATTGAAGGACCCGAGCACACTGCAGAGGGGGGATGCAATCGTGCGAAAGGAACCGACCCCGCACCCGCAGCTTCAGTCCTACCCTGGCAAAGACACCCCTGAGTGCAGGGGCTTCAGGCTGCGCTGCTTTTGAACCCCCGTTGTTCGGGCCTCCGAACAGAGCATAGCTGGCACCCCCGCCCACAGACACAGATGGTTCCTCCCAGTTTGTGAGGGACTCCGTAGGGTTCTGGACTCCTCCCACACTAACCCGTCAGCTTTTTATCTTGCTCGAACATCTGAATTTATAGATATGGGGTGTCACCTAAGGATAATTATATCTGTATCTGTGAGTCTTAACAACCTAAGGCACTGAGTTCCTTCATATATGACTGACTCAAGTTTGAGGTTGCTGCTGCTTGCACAATTTGAATTCTTTTATACAGAAAAGTGAGATTTCTTTGTGTTCAAGTAAAACTCAAAAATGACCCTCTCACTCATCTTCTGAATAGTTATTCTGACTGGATAAGAACATTTGTTTTTTGATTCATTCCAAAAGATGTGCAGGTGTGGCTGTGGGTGAGTGGTCAAGGCGGTGGGCCAGGAGATCCTGGGGGTGATTCTGGGCAGGTTCAAGTCCTGCTGCTTAGGGTTCTACGACCTAATATTACCACAAGAGCTTGATACTCATCTAAATGATGTCAGACTAAGAAACGCTGATAGCAAAGTAGTATGGACTCATCTGGGAATGTCAGCCTCAGGGCAGCAGGCATTTGTTCACTGCTGGATTTCCAGCACCTAAAATAGTACCTGACACAAAGTAGACTGACTGTGTAACAGGGTGCAGCCAAGAGGGGGGGGCCCAAATAGGCATTTGAAATGGGGTCCAGAACTCAAGGTGTCCAGGAGATTTTAGGATGTCCTCACCCTCCCCCCACCCCCAGATGTGGGTTGGGGGAAGGGACAAATGGAGCAGGTCCATTGAGAGCTGTTTTGCATAGCAACAGCCTTGCAACTAACCTCTGGGGTGGTCATTTAACATATCTATAGCCTTTGGCTGGTCACTTAGATATGTTGAATAGCTGTGGCCATGCTCTGAGCCATGGGAATGGAAGTAACATCCTCACCAAGACGTAACTGGGGGGCGGGGCCACCGAGTTACAGCGCTTGTGTGGGAGCTTGGAGATGTTTGGCTCCATGACGTGGGGGCACACCTGCCCAGACTCATGATGGCAGCCCAGTGAAGCTGGAAGGATATGGGAGTGCTAGAAAGTGTAGCTGATGGTGAGAGGAGTTGGAAATGGGCTGCAGAGGAAGATTGGCACGGGGATTTAAACCCAGATTCAGCAACCATTGGAGAGAGAACCATGTGGCTGTGGCAGTGCAGAGAGGATCACAGCTATTGAGGGAGAGAGAACCACGCCGCTTTGGCAGAGTGGAGACTCCCGCAGCCCTGCGAGAGAGAATCACCATGCGGCTTTAGCAGAGAACGCCACTCGCCTTTTGGCAGAGTGGTGGACCCGCCCCTCCCGCCCCCTTGCAGCCTTTGCACAGAGAGAAGCACTCGGCTTTGGCTGAGTGGGGACTCCCCTTGCCCTGGGAGACAGGACCGCTGGAGCGGTGGAGAGAGGACCACGTGCCTTTGCCAGAGTGGGGACCCCCACAGTTTTAGAAGGGGGAACCACCACCCGGCTTTAGCAGAGATCCCGGCGACACAGCTGAGGATGCTGGGAACCGAGGGAGGCCTACCAGCCAAGACAGATTACTGGGAAGAACTGGGAGCTGCCTGAGCCACGGACTTGTATTTCCTTTGCTGAGATACGGTACTCTGGACTAGGCAAAGGTGGAAGGAAGGACTGTGTTTGTGGGTGTTTTAAGGGACTTTGGGATTTTGACAAAGGCATTAGATCACTACTTTAAGTCTGTATAGCATTAAATAAACTTTTCCTTTCCTTTTCACGAATCTCTGGCATTGAGAGACATCTTTCCCATTGACGGCGGACATAATGGACCTGGGGGTTTCTTTCAGTAATGGTATATCGTCCCAAGGCCCCCCTTATATTGTTCTGTAACAACTGGTGTTTAAACATCTGCTAGGCACTGGATTCACAGGCAACTCAAACTAAAACTGACATTGTTTTCCTGAATCTAGTGGTGGAGATACCCCATGAGGAAATGTATTTTTTAATCAATTAATTTATTTTAGAGAGAGGAAAAAAAACATTGATTTGTTGTTCCAGTTAATGCATTTATTGGTTGCTTCTTGTATGTACCCTGACTGGAGGTCAAACCCACAACCTTGGCATATTGGGATGATACTCTAACCAACAGTGTACCTGGCCAGGGTGGGAGTGTGTATTTTATTTATGTAGAATCTTGGTTTTTATAATAAGATGTATATTTTTATTTTAATAAATATACTTTTATGTTTACTACATTTATAAATGAAGATATCATCTGTGTGTTTATCTTGGGTAAATATCTTGAGGTCTCCTCCACACCCTGTTATGCTATGCCTCTGCTCAGACTGTAAAGTTTGCCTGGAATACCTTCCTCCCACTTCCTTAAATAGTGCTAACTCCTACTCATTCCTTAAGACTCTGCATAGAGGGGAGGGGGATGGGTGGAAGTGGAGGAGGGTATAAGGGAGATAAATGGTAACGGAAAAATATATAATTTTAAAAAGACTCTATATAACCATTACTTCCTCCAGGAAGCCATCCCTGACCCCTAGGCTAGGCACTACTCCTATTCCACTCTATCCCACTTGCAAAATTGTCTCTATCACATTGACGGAGGGCTTCCTGAAAGCTGGGCCCATGTTTTGTTTGTCACTATATCTCTCCCTCCAGACACAATGTACAGCACTTAATAGGAACTCAATAAATACCTAGTAAATGAATCTGGCCCTATCCACCTTCCCAGCTTTTGGCACACTTAATGTAAGGATCTCCCCCTGCTGCCATTTTGGCCAATGGGAAAGAATCCCCGGTGCACTGACTAACTGTCAATGATAACATCTATCTATTAGCTATCTTTTTTTTTTATACGTTTCAGCTAAGTTGCAGACATCATTACCCTTCTCCCCTAAACACTTAAGTACACATTACTTAATTTTCCAAATATTAAATATAATTTGGAGTTCAATATTTGTTTTCTAGATTAAGTTTATTACATATAATATATTTTTATATTTTCCTAAAACTTGCTTTTCCCCTTCTTAATGTCCTTTCTTGGGAAGTGTCTACCCTTCCTTTTTAAATTTATTTTTAGTTTTAGAGAGAGGGGAAGGGACGGAGAAAGAAACGGAGAGAAACATTGATGCAAGAGAGAAACATCGATTTCTCTCTCTAGGCAACAGCCTCTCACAAGCACCCAACAAAGGACTGAATCTGCAATGCAGGCATTTGCCCTCACATGCTTTGACAGGCAATGTCCAACCAACTCAGTCACACCTGTCAGGGCTATTCTTCCTTTTTAATTGGGCACAACTGTATTGAAATTTTTTAAAATATATTTTATTGATTATGCTATTAGAATTGTCCCATTTTCCTCCCTTTATCCCCCTCTGCCCTGCACCTCCCCTCCCTCCACCATTCTCAGCCCCCCCTTAGTTCATGGGATATACATATAAGTTCTTTGGCTTTTACGTGTCCTATACTATTCTTAACCTCCCCCTGTCTATTTTCTACCTTCTAATTTATGCTTCTTATTCCCTGTACCTTTCCCCCCTTTCTTCCCCTCTCCCTCTCCCCGCTGATAACCCTCCATGTGATCTCCATTTCTGTGATTCTGTTCCTGTTCTAGTTGTTTGCTTAGCTTGTTTTTGTTTTTGCTTTTATTAGGCTCGGTTGATGGTTGTGAGTTTGTTGTCATTTACTGTTCATATTTTTTATCTTCTTTTTCTTAGATAAATCCCTTTAATATTTCCTATAATAAGGGCTTGGTGATGATGAACTCCTTTAACTTGACCTTATCTGGGAAGCACTTTATCTGCCCTTCCATTCTAAATGATAGCTTTGCTGGGTAGAGTATTCTTGGATGTAGTTCCTTGCCTTTCTTTGAATACTTCTTTCCAGGCCCTTCTTGCCTGCAAGGTTTCTTTTCAGATATCAGCTGATAGTCTGATGGGAATTTCTTTGTAGGTAACTGCTTTTCTCTTGCTGCTTTTAAGATTCTCTCCTTATCTTTAATCTTGGGTAATGTAATTATGATGTGCCTTGGTGTGTTCTTCCTTGGGTCCAATTTCTTTGGGACCCTCTGAGCTTCCTGGACTTTCTGGAAGTCTATTTCTTTTGCCAGATTGGGGAAGTTCTCTTTCATTGTTTTTTTCAAATAAATTTTCAATTTCTTGCTCTTTCTTTTCTCCTTCCGGCACCCCTATGATTCAGATGTTGGAAAATTTAAAATTGTCACAGAGGTTCCTAAACCTCTCCTCATTTTTTTTTTTGAATTCTTGTTTCTTCATTCTGTTCTGGTTGACTGTTTATTTCTTCTTTCTGGTCCAAACCGTTGATATGTGTCCTGGTTTCCTTCCCATCAGTGTTGGTTCCCTGTATATTTTTCTTTATTTCACTTTTCATAGCCTTTGCTTATTCCTCTATTTTGTGACTATACTCAACCAATTCTGTAAGCATCCTGATTACCAGTCTTTCGAACTGTGATAGGTTGGCTATCTCTTTGTTCCTTAGTTGTATTTTTTCTGAAGCTTTGATATGTTCTTTCATTTGGACCTTTATTTATTTATTTATTTTTTTGGCTCCACAGTGCCTGTTAGGTAGTAAGGGGCGGAGCCTTAGGTATTCACTAGGGTGGGGCAACCCACCTTGCTGCCTTGTGGTGCTATTTGTGGGGGACAGTCCAAGAGGAAACAATGCTGCTTGTTTAGCTCTCTGTCAGCTTTCAGTCACTTCTGCTGCTACCCACAAGCAATTTGTGCCAGTCTGGTGCTGATTCCCAGGTAGGTGGGCATGTGTATGTTCTAGGACCCTGTGGGTATCTCCAATGAACTCTCCTGTGAAGCTGGAAGTTTCGCCTGCTGGCTCAACCCTCACAAGTTTTTTCAATCAGAGGTTTTGAAGCCTTATTTCCCTGCACTGAAACCCTGGGTTGTGCCCTCTGTCTCATTCCCCAGTTGTTCCTCCTGGTTTATCCACATGCAAATGTGGGACTGTCTGCTTCACCAGCTAATGCCTTGCCAGCACGTGTCCACTCTACCCAGCTATATGTCTCCATTCTTCCTTACCGGTCTGGATGAATGTTTCTTCTTTAACTCCTTGGTTGTCCAACTTCCATACAATTCAATTTTCTGTCAGTTCTGGTTGTTCTTTATTTTTAAATTTGTCGTTGTCCTTCTTTTGGTTGTGGAAGGAGGCACAGTGTGTCTACCTTCGCCTCCATCTTGGTCAGACAACTCTATTGAACTTATATGCCCTTGTCAAACCCTACTCCATCTTCTTCTGATGGATCTAAAGGTTATTTCAAAGTTTTCACCAAAATGGAGTGCCATGGTATGTGTTGCAATCACCTTCCTTATTTGTGTCCTTTTGGGTTCTTGCAAATGTTAGATAGGACAAGAGTCTCAAGATCTGGGCAATCCTAAATATTATTTATTGATAAATGTTAAAGTTTAGCATAGCATTTTGTAGATGCAGTAATAAACAGGATAAGCTGAAAGGAACTCAACCAGATGAAAGTAGCTAACTGCAAAGAAAAAATCAACATGTAATTAACCAAACAGTGTGTGTGTGTGAGAGAGAAAGTATATATATATATAGTCTTTCTTCCCTGGGGCATAAATTTTTAAATGGATAGGAATGTTCTTCAGTCATCTTTTTTAAAGACTCTCCTAGATAAGTTTAAAGTCTTTTTTTTTCAGGCATTCTCCAAAGAGCTCTGCTCTGTACACCTGGAAAGCAAAGAGTTCTTCTTTGCCCAGATAGATGCCAGCTCCTGGAACCTGAAAAATAAAGAAATATACTCTGTACCTGGGTGATGAACCAGCCCTATATAAGCCAGACCCCTAGCATCAGTTCTGGAGCTAAGCTATAGCTAGTTGCATCAAGCTCTCTTCCTTTCTCCTTTTCCTGCACCTTGATTTCAGAAAACCTCTAATTTTAAATGTTTCATCTGCTCTCCTGATTTCTATCTCAGTGGTGAGGGCAGCAAGAACCCCTTTGTCAGTGACAAATTCCCTGTCTCCCTATTTGCTGCAAGTAAATAAAACTTGCAACAACCACATCTCATTTTCAAAAAGATTTTATGTATTTATTTTTTGAAAGAAGGGAAGACGAAAGAGAGGGAGAAACATCAGTGTGTGGTTGCCTCATGCACACCCCCTCCTGGGGACCCGGCTGGCAACCCAGAGATGTGCCCTGATTGGGAGTCAAACCAGTTATGCTTTCATTCACATTTTTGACTAGAGTATCCCAAGCAGTGAACCCTTTGAGTTCAGTAATGCAAGTGTTCCTACCCAGAATTGTTGGGTCAAAGAGAATGCCCATTCTAAATTTTAACAAATCTTGCCAAATTTTCCCTCCTTCCCCATGTGAACAAAAAAGGGGCTATCTTAGCAAGCCTGAAAAACTCACTAACTGAAAGAAGCCACACAGGATGTTTTGATTATCAAAACATTCCTAACTGAGCAGGTTATGGTGGGAAGTCCTGTCCTAAGGTACATGTGATAGATTACCTCTTCCTTGAACAAGCCCTGTCCATTGTTTATGTGCATCTACAATAACATATTTAAAATGTTAGAATCATTTCTTCTCAAGACTGCCAAAGATAAACATTCCAGTATGGTGGGGGTGGGAATCAACCCCAACATTCCTCATTATCTTTCACCTGCATACCTCTGTAAGCTATGTTAAATATTTACTATCCTTCACTCACTAATGTAAAAGAAACATGTATCTCTCCATTTTATTTTCTATCCAATCCTAGGGATTTCCCCACTTTACCTACCTCCACCTCTTTAATCTTCTATTAATGGATTTCATGTAACCTTTCTTAGGTCTTCTTTGATTCTAATGTATAAAATAAATGCAAAAATTGCTATTTCTCTGAGCATTATCTCTGTTCTTTGGACTTTTGCTTCCAGGACTAGCTCAGGATACATGGCTCTAATAAACTCCTTAAACTTTCCTTAGGTTTGGAATTTCTTTCGTGGACACCTAATAACTCTAACAAACACTGTAAACTTCCCACACCTTTGCCGACAGTGGACATTACAAGCCAGTCATTTAATCTGCAGCCAGTCAGATGGTTAAGGAAATGACTGGAAGCCACTGAGGCTGAAACAGAAAGTGCAGGTGGAGCTCAGCGCGCAGGGCCTGAAGAGGTGGTGACACTGGTTAAGAAAAGCGCCTAGCTTAGAGGAAGCCTCATGAACACCAGCTCTCACTGGTTAACTCCGGGGCACCTCAGCTCTGGGGCAGACCCAGGTATCAAGATAGGAGCCACTTGCCTGGCGCAGAGGCGTGCCCTTCGCAGGCCCCGCCTCCCGCTGCGTGCGTACGTCGGGCCGCCCTCCTGCCCGCCCACTAGACTAGGGTGGTAGCAACTTCTGAGGGTGTTCCTGACCGACGCGCGGTAGTGGTCACAGACAGGACGACTCGCTGAAGGCCGAGAGGATCCGTGGCTGGTGAGTGGCGTGCGGCCTCCTGGGCTTCCTCCGATTTCCTCGGTGGGCCTCGACCAGCTCCGGTCTTTGGGGGCTGGGTTCCGCCGGCCGCGGCTCTCTGCGTCCCCAGTGCCCGTCTGAGGGAGGCCCAATGGGCCAGGGCCGGGGGCGGCGGAAGCCGGGTGAGCGGGGAAGTGGCTGGGTGTGGTGAACCCTGCTTCAAAGACGATGTTTCCGAGGGCCGGGGAAGCCTTAATGGCCAGTTTGCGTTGGGCCCCATTGGATCCTCCTTTCTGGCGTCGCGAGTGCGAGTGCCGCTGCGTGAGGTGCCCCCGGGGTTGCAGCCGGTGGATTTGGCATTTCCGGCGAACGTTGCAGCTACTGACCTCCCAGCCGGCAAGTCAGTCCACCTGGGGCCCTCGAGGACCCGGACCTGCCCCAGAGTCGGAGATGGGTGCCCGGCTTGGCGGCTTGTCTTGGGCCATGGCTTTGCCCTTCTTCCATCCGACTCATCTTAGTCTTAAGGGCCCTTTGAGTGACTGTTATGACTTCATGAGTGACCCGCGGCCGCCACAGTAGAGAGCGCCAAAATGGGAGGGACCAACGCCAGGGGCAGCCGGTTAGTTTGGGTGGGGAGCTTACCTATCACCTCATGGGCACGGTTCTCTAGACGTATTATAAGACCTGCTAGGACCGCCTTGCACAATCTCCGCACAAGGCCTGTCTGTCATGACATTTAAATTTGTCTGATGAACCGGTTGTTGTGGCCTGAGGCTGCTATCCATTATTTTTATGTTATGATTCTGTGAACCAGGAAATGAACATGGTATATAGTTCAGGAAGCCTCTGATTCTCAGCCCCTTCCAGAACCCTGTGGGTTGATAATTTTCCCACTTTTAAATGGGGTTAGTGATGAGACTCGGGTTAAGTGAATTGACCTGCATCTCACAACCAAGAAGGTGGAACACGGTCGACTGCCTTCAGGTCCCATGCTCTTTCCTAAAACAGAGTTGTAGAGATTGGAAGTGGATTGTTATTTAAACTGTCTTCCCCACCGCCTAAACTGTCTTCCCCAGTGGAAGGAAACGGAAACTTACTGGTTTTATATATTGAATTTCTGGTATGGTGTTAACCAGTGTTTACATTAAAAATTTAGCTCTCATATTAAAAATTTTAGTTTTTCTTCCAGGAGGAGGGGGGATAAGGAAATACACGCTAGTAAATCTGTGCTGTATTCTTGAGGGTTTTTTTTTTTTCTTCAAGAAATATCACAACAAAACAACACAAGCTTACCAGAAACAGTCAATTGGGCATTTACAAGTTTACTTGGTGAAGTTGGAAAAAAGTTTTCAAGTACAGTGCCTAAGCCAGAACACTGGTGAGGATGTGGGAATTTGAAGGGTCTTGGAAACACACATTCATGAGTGATACCTCATCTAATTGGGGATTTGAAGAGAAAACTCTGTGAGTCCCCCATTATCTGACTTACTTGCTTTTTTCCGTTGCTTGGGCCAATAAAGTGAGATGCTGTGAGTCCTCGAGTCAGGAGTATGAGCTCTAGAAATGCCAATGAAAAGAGGAGTTACAGAAAGTAAGGTATAATTATTGTGTTTAGCTCACCCCTCAACAAGATGGTGGAAAAGCAAAACTAGACAGTTGGGGCCTTTGGGCTACCTTAATTTTTTGTTTCTTTGTTTTCTTTTAAAAACTGACTCTGGATTTCAGAGTTCAGTTGGGCTCTAATCAGGATTGCACCAAAAACTGTAGTATCACTCTCATAGGAGGAAAATATTTTTTATAATGAGAATTGTATATTTTAGTGTAAAACTTTAAAATTTGGTTTGGAACACCTTGAAAAGAAAAGAAATGAAAAACTATAAATTACCTCCTGGTACATTACTGGCCATAGTTGACCAAAAAGTTATCAATAGACATTTAATGTGGCAATTTTCAACTGGTGTGTCACAAGAATTTTTAAAACATGCAATACTTGACTGCTTAGTCAGGGACACTGACCTCTTTTCTCTTAGATTGTCAAATGAAAAATGACAACAGCCAATATAACAATAACTGTCTGGTGTGAACGAATCAAAATTATACCTATTTTTGGTCAGTAAAAAATAGAATATATTTTTTGGTGTTCTGCAGATTTTTGGTAATTAATTTATGTGTGCCATGAGATAAGAAAGGTTGAAAATCGCTGATTTAATGCAGTCTATTTTTCTGAGAGTGGTCACTGGGAGAATGAACAGATCTGGATTACATCTTTTGTGTTCAACACAGTGAATATTACCTGCTTTTAGTTTATTATATGTTAGGTTTGTTTATGCAAAAACATTGGCTAAAATCTCTTTCTTGTTGCAATCTGAATGATTTCGCATAATATTTTTGCATTGCTGAAAAGCAGTGCCATTATTGGAACAGTTAATATAACTGCTAATACCAAGATCAATTGGTGTCTCTCTTTCTCTCTCTCAATATATGTATTGGAAGATAACTCATTCTCATGACCACTCAGGTGCTCTGTAATATTCACTGTATGGGTTTCTTTTCCACATCAACTCCATTTATTAGATGTTGTTTCCCATTGTATTACACATTTTAAAGCCAACTAATGAAGGCAGCTGAATTTCAGAAATCTTCTTTTTAAATTTCTAATAAGTTTGACATGGTATTGAAACATAGTAGCCCATGACAGTCTGGTTTAGTCACATTACATATATTAAAGAATATGCAGTTACATTTATTTATATATTTGCAAGAAATCCTTTTTGAATAACCAGTGTCCTTCCATTTAAGAATAACAATGGTTGCCCTGGCTGGGCATATTGGTTGGAGTGTCAGCTCTATATGCCAAGGTTGCATGTTTGATCCCCATCTCCAGTCAGGGCACGTACAACTTCAACCAATGAATGCATACATAAGTGGAGCAAATCTATTTTTCTCGCTGTCTCTCTCCACTCCCCTTCCTCTTTGCCTCCCTCCCCCTTCCCTTCTCTCTAAAAACTAATTTAAAAAATAAAGAATAACAATGGTTAATGGACTTAACTATAGATAATTTAAAGTTGTATAGAAATTGTAAAGGGAAGCCATTTACCAAGAGTCCGAGGATTGCATCTAAATTGCAATCATGGCCAATTGAAATGGAGCCAGGAACTTTTTCTGGGTTGTCATATCAACCACATCTATATTCAAGATTTACATTATTCTAAGCCCCTAACTAGACATTTCAAAACAGCAATTAAACTTACAAGGCTCTTAGAAGTGAATAGGTTTTAATGTTTAATTGATGTAATTTTAGCAAAAATGCATTTTTCTATATGATGTGTAGGGTGAGGTAAAAGTAGGTTTATAGTCGTAAGTACATGAAACACAGTTTATTCTTGTATTATTACTGTATTATTTTCCATATGAACAACTGTAAACCTACTTTTGCCCCACCCTGTATTTCTTTTAAGCGAGTATTTTAATAGTAATCCAAGGGCTGTTTAGTCTGTTTATGGAGTAAGAATTGTATTCTTGCTGTTCAATGATATGATGCTGAGGAGTGTTCATTTTTCAAGTATATGCTTGAGTATCTCAACCTGTGTAAAGTCTATAGATACACTGCCTTTTTGTTTGTATGTCAAGATGATTGAATCAGTTAATTCAATCAACTTGTAACCATTTTAACTAATCAATTTGTAACCATTTTTACTCAAACAGCTATTCAACACTGGGTAGTTTCACATGTATGTATATGTGTGGGGGCTCCACCCGCCGGACCCTGTCCCCCCACCACACCATCCACCATGAATGAGAATACTCCACCAAGACATGATCTGTTTGGGGAGGAAAGGTGGCTGATCTCTCAAAGGAGAAGGGCCAAGAGCCTATTCCTCAGTGGGCTTTTATTGAGTTTATTTGCATAGGAATACAGGGAGTATAGGTAAAGCTCATCAATCATTGTCAGGCAGTAAGGATCAAACAATAGATAACATACAAAGAACTATGAGGGCTTATTCTGAGTCAGGGTCTGTTAGCTAAAGGGCTGTAAAACGTAGGGGAAACAAACTCACTTCATGCTTGGACCCTTATCAGAAAATTGAGGACATTCTTAGCAAAGCAGGTTTCACAGGATTTTATGTATCCTGCCCTTTCCAGCACAGGGCTGGACTGCTCTCTCTCATTGTTTCAGGTTTAAGGCAGGCAGGGGAAGTAAGGCAGCCAAGAGATTAGGAAACTTCTTTCAGGCAGAATGAGGACTCAGGCTTTGTCAAAGCCGAGGGGCCAGGGTCCATCACCCCCTTTTGCTATAGCCCCCAAGTTGTTCCCTGGGGGCCCCTTTGTGATCATTGCCTGTCTTAGGCCATCCCTCCCTTGAGGAATCATACCCGTCACTGGCTAACTGGTCATCCACCCAGGGCCAAGCAGGGTGAAGTAAAGGGGGCAGCAGTGTTGCCCCTGCCAGGGAGATAAGCTTTGTCTCCTTAGTGGCTTAGGGTCCCAAGGTCTGTCACTCAGCCTTAGCCATTGGGGGTTACAGCTTCTGAAACCAGGCAGCGTGGTTCCTAACATGTATGTATATCCAAATACATTCATATTCATTTATATTAGAATGAAAAATAAAGGGTTTGTTTCTCCCAAAAAAGGAAGTTTCGGTAGTATATATTTAACCATGAGAAAACATTTAAACCTTCTGAGCTGCAGTTTCTGTATCTGAAAAATGAAATTAGTACTTGATGAGTCTGAAAATGTTTGGTGCCTTAAATGCTGCTTATTGATCTAAAATGGTTTCCAAATCTTTTTTTATCACTTAAACATAATTGTACTAACTTATTTTTCCCCAACACAAGTTATAATAATCTTTTTTTCATATTTTTTAATATTTTATTCATTATGCTATTATAGTTGTCCCATTTTCCCCCTTCACTCCCCTCCCCCCTGCCTACCCTCTCCCACTCACATTCCTCCCCTTTAGTTCATGTCCATGTGTCATAAGTTCTTTAGCTTCTACATTTCCCACACCATTCTTGCCCTCC